TATAATATCATGATAAAATAATAATATTAGAGTTATTAATATAATTATGATATTATTTGTTACAATATAACTATTATATTATATTATATTATATTATAATACGAGTTTGAATTTTAATTTGAGAAGATTGTAAATTTTAAATTTTATTAGGAGTATTATTAGTATTATGAAAGTTTCATTAATTGTACTATGTTGATTCCCGCACAATCTAAAAGCTAAAGTTGTTTTTAGGTTACTTCTGATTTTGATTGTAGATTCTTAAAAAATTCTTTAAAAAACACTTTTTAGGAGATTTACTAAATACTAAAATCAGCTTATGCTATAAACAGAAGCTGATTTTGAAAGAAAAGAGTAATACCAAACTAAGCTCGGTGGTATTCATTGTTTAGGGAGAAGGGATTTTGGTCTAAAGGCTCTTTTGCTAGATAAAAAAAAAATTAGAAACAAAAACCAAGAAAGTGGAATCAAGCAAAACAAATCAGGACTTTAGTTGATCCCAGCACACAACAACAAAAACTTTATTTAATGTAAAATTTTTAAAATCTGGGGTTAGAGCCTAGAGGCATACTGACTTCAACCATGAGTATAAAAGGACATTGGGAAGTTTTCCTTAACACAAACTACTCAAACTTTATAGCTACCAATGTCTTTTTAGTAATCAAAAGTCAAATTTTTGGCTCTCAGTCTTTCCTCAGTTCAACTTTTGCAGCTGAAGGCTCAAACATTCAATTCCAAATTCCAATCTTCTCCAGAAGAAAAAAAAGAAAAAAAAAAATAAGAACCCAAACAGATTATAGATTTTCATTATTAGCAACATATATTATAAAGGAGATCCAAAGTTTGAGGCCACAAGAGAAAAAATATATAATAAAATTTTTATCCATGCATGTTTGATATATGTTATGATATAGTTTTCTGAAGTAGCCAGATATTCGTGCAAGGTGAAACCTCGGAAGTGATGTCATCTGGGTTTTAATCAAAATTATCTGTAGTCTATTCTGCTACTTCTTTTAGCAAAAACTAAAAAGAGTGCCCGTCTAAATTTTATAAAAAAAGAATTTAAAAAACTTGGTAGAAAAAGATATATATATATATATATATATATATATATATATATATATATGTTACTCTTACTAATATTTTGGAAAAGTCACTTTGGTATTCCAAAAAATAGTGGTTTTTAATTTTTTAGACATAGTTCATTTTACCGATTCAAATTTTTAATTCTAAATTTTTACAGTAAAAAGCTCTCAGAAAATGTCACATTTAACCTTTTCTATTACAGTGAAAAGTTATCAAAAAATGTCATATCTCAACTCGAATTGAAAATTCGAATCCGCGAAGTGAACGATTATATAATATAAAAAATGTTTTGAGCCGGGTACCCAAACTAACAAGTTTGTCATATGTTTTAGGTTCGTGTGGTACTCAATTGACTTTAATAATATTTAATAATACTTGGGCTCTTTTTATTTATCGATTCGAGTTTTGTTACAGTAAAAATTTTTTAGAAACAGTCATATTTAATTTTTTTGTTACAGTAAAAAAGCTCTCACATAAAGGTCTCGTTTATTACACTGATTCGAGTTTAAAATTTGAGTTTTGTTATAGTAAAAAGCTCTCAGAAACAGTCACATCTAACTTTTTTACTACAGTAAAAAGCTATCACATAAAGTTACATCTCAACTCGAATTAAAAACTCAAATTAACTAACTAAATGAGTCTAAAGTCACATCTCAACTTAAATTAAAAACTCAAATCAATGAATTAAATAGACTCGTAATAAATGTAGTTCAATACATATAATATAAGTGTTGCACTTGAGTATTACAAACAGAATACAGTGACATTGTATTGTAATGAGTAATGATGAACGATAAATTTTACAAATATCCGGATTGATCATGATGCCGGAAGGCTTTGCAGTACATTATAATATAATTTATATAACCAAAGGAAGGTGAAAACCACTAGTTTGGATAACAACGCTGAGGAAGAAATGAAAGTTGATTTCTTTTTTTTTTTTTTTTAATAAAATGAAAGTTGATTTCTTGCTCAAAATACCATAACACCAATAATTGACATGCCAGCGAAACAAAAGTTAGGAAGGAAAAAAAGATTAAAAAATGAACCAAGAAAGGAATAAATAAAAAGAAAGGCCAAAACCAAAAGAATAGCCTCTCTCTTCAGCTTTTCACACTGAAAATAACAATTCCAATCAATGCATTACGTGGGATTGTGAGAGCGACCTCCATCCTTCTTTCTTGCCCTCTCTCAAAAAAAGAAAAAAAGAAAAAAAAAAAACTTTCCCACATGATCCCAAGCAAGTGACACATAAACAAATCCAAAAAGTATGCATTGAAGTTTGGTATATTTTATCGTGCAAAAATCTCTCCATCTTTAAAAAATTATTTTTTCCTTCATCACCGACGGTAAGTAAACTCACTCTCTGCATTCAAGTAATAAACATAAGCGTACAACTAGTTTATCTCTCTCTCTCTCTCTCGAATTGCTATCGTACGGTTGAGCATTTACGTCTCTTTCTCATCTCTGTGTCTCTCTGTGCGTGGTACATTTTCATTGCTAAGTGTTTCCAAGAAACAGAGCAAGTTTTGGTTTCTGGGTTGGCCATATTTCGGAGGCTCTCTCGGTTAGTGTTTCTTTCTTTTCATTTTTGTTTTTGGATATTTCTTATCATTTTGATATGTTCGGCATCAAGATCTTTGTTTGTTCATCAAAAGGGTTGTTTTTCCTTTTTTTATTTATTTTTATTTTATAGTTTTGAGAATGGGGATTCTGAGTTCAACTTGGAAGTGTTGTTGTGCATTATTTATGATTTCTGCTTCAATAAAGATTTCTTTTAAAAAAAAAAATTAATTCGTTTTGCTGTTTCTTTCACTTGGCGTTGATAAACTGTATTGCGGGCGGAAAAAAAGGGATTTTTATTGCGGTTGAGATTAATTTTTGACAAATTTTAGCCAAAATCTTCTATTTGTGATTTGGGTCTTTGTTTTTATATTTCACCTTTTTTTTTGGGTGGGATGGTGATTTCAATCAATTCAGTGATGTTGTTATATGGATGTACAACCGTATTATGACCATTAACTTTGTCTTACACCTAACATATGCTTGGTTGCTGAGAAAATTGAAGAATAGGAAAGAAACAAAATTCTGAACCTGTTATTAATTTTGTCCACATTAAAGAATGATGCAAAGCAAACCAAATCAAATCAAACGGTTCGATTCCTTTCTTGGTTTTTGTTGCATTTAAAATTTGTGTCCCTTGAGTGCCCAAATAGTGAAAAATTTTAGCTTACTAGCATTTTCACTTTGGGCTTTGTTTCAGCCTTTAAATGGAGAATAAAGGATAAAAGCACACATTGATTTGAGCTCAAAGAAAGCACTAACGCAAAGGCTATCTCACTTTATGTTTGAATAATCTCAGTTGGATCCAACATGAAAAGTTGACTTGATTGGAAAAGCATTTACAAGTACTTTTATTTCAACCAAGTTATTCATTCATCTATATTTGTACTCTCCTAACCATCTAAAGCCTAGAAAAGCAAAATGGATTCCAATGATTATTGTTCAAAAATTGATATTAAATCAACTGCTTGCTGAAAGTTTCAAGAAATCCCAAAAACTTGAATCTTCAGGATAAGGATTTGACCAAATTCATATCCAAATTAGTCTTTTCATCCATTTGGGTTCGAGATAATAGTGTGGGTGAAAATAGGCCATTGCGTGTGCTGCAGCTTATACAATTCTTAGTTTTTTACTAGCCATCTTGTGTTGTGACTTTGCTTGTTGAATCTTTCTCACAGCCGAGTACAATTAAATTAGAGTCTGGTGGTTTGGGGTAGCAATTATATGATGCTAAAAAGTCTTATGGAAGACAAGCAGTTGGATTTTAATCAGCCACTTCTATCTGTAAGACGATTTTCATCACCGGCAGTTCCCCCTGAAGCTGATAACAAACGGAAAACCGATAAACCACTACCAAAATTACCTCCTCTTCCTGTTTATAAATCAGAACTAAAGTCAGGTCCAGTGAGGAATCCAGGAACTGTTCCTTTTGTATGGGAGCGAACCCCAGGAAAACCCAAGGATGAAAAAACATCACGACCTCAAGCTCCTGAGCAGCCTCCCATTGCTCCGAAGCTACCACCTGGGAGGGTTTTAAATGTTAGACAAGAAGCTTCGGATAAAGGTTCTAAAGGTACAATTGCTACTCAGTCCCAAACCAGAAGTATCCTTTCCAGTTCCAAAGATGTCTCAGACTTGGATAAAAGAAGCTTCACTGAAGATAAAATCTCAAAACTAGAGACCGAGGATAAGAGTAGCTCTGGTTCAGGTGATGGTGACGAGACATATCTAGATGCACTTGATACACTCTCCAGGTCTGAATCATTCTTTTTGAACTGCAGTATAAGTGGTGTGAGTGGATTGGATGATCCGGATGTCAAGCCATCTGGGACCTTCTCGACAGATCAACAGACTCGGGATTTCATGATGGGTCGGTTTCTGCCTGCAGCAAAAGTTATGGCTTCAGATACGCATCAATATGCTCTTAGGAAGCCACAGGTTGTGAGAGAGCAGCCTAGACAGATTAATAAGGTAGTGAGTGGCGATAAGCGACGTCCACTTAATCTGAATAAGCCAAATAGGTTGCCTCCTTATGCCCAAGAACTAGGTGGGGAAGAAAGTGAAGATGAATCTGTTACCTATGAAGGATCTGATATTTTATCAGATAAAGTTTGTGGTTTATTTCCTCGGTTTTGCTTAAAGAATTCATTTTGCCTTTTGAATCCAGTACCCGGCATGAAGATGCAGAGTCAGTTCCCCATTTCATCAGTCCGTAGAGTGCCGGCCAATTCTTCATCTGCTAGTACTTGCAGAGAAACTAAAGTAGAGGTATTCTCCCTTTCTTTACATGCTTGCTTTCTGTCTTTTGTGCTTGCCAAATGATCATTATTTGATTAGTATCATTTTGTTGTCTCTCCAGCATGCTGAGCATCTTGTGTATGAACAAAAATCTATGGTCCGAGAACAAACAGCTGAGCTGAATAAAGGTAAGATCAAATTGAAATATAAATCCAACGGGATTGAAGACAAAAGTGATTCTCAGAAAGTAGACCAGTCATCTCTGTATAGACACCAACAAGGCAATGGCTTATCACTTTACCATAGCGGACATTCCCAGCTCAAACTTCCCGAACAAAAGGGTTTTCTGGGGATACGTGAGAAGAAAAGGAATTCCAGGGAAAGGGGCTTTGATATCCATAAAAGTAGACGAAGCAATTTTCGAGAATTGTTGAACAATGAGAACACTAAATTGGAAGTTGGGTCAGGGAGTCCAGTGGTTGAGAAGACTCTCTACATAGATTCTGTACATACAGTGAAACCCCCAAGTTCCAATTCAAGTGCTTCAGACATGAAAAGCTTTACTGATTGCAGGGGGAATGATGTTGAGATTCCCGAAAAAAGTAGTGACATGGAAGACACTCATTCAGTAGATTCTTCACTTCAAGATATCAAGTGCTTGAGCGTCGTTGATGAAAAGGCAACAACAACGCCGAAAAGTTTGCAGTCCGTAGATTCCTGTTTCCAGTCTTGCTCGAACAAATCCACTCTTGAAAAGCAAATGCACATGACAAATGGTTCCATACAGGATGAATATCTTATTCCGGATTCTTTTACATTGATGAGCTCGAAAGTGGCTGCCCAAGAGAGTTATGATTTAGAAAGCCAACGGTTGTCATGTGAACAGGAAAAGTGTCATGACCTTACCAAGGATTCTATCACATTTACAAGCTCGAAAATTGCTGAGAGGAAGATTGATTTGAAAAGTCGACAATACTTGGGATTGGATTATCAAGAAAGCCAGCTCAAAATGGCTGATGATAGGAAGATTGATTCAAAAGGACAGCAGCTGATCAAATTCAGAACCGAGGAAAATTTTCTTGCCCTTGTTCAAAGTTCTACGACAAAAGTGGCCAATGACAGGGTGATTGATTTAGAAAGCCAGCGGCTTGGAAAATTAGGTAATCAAGAAAGTTCTCAGAGCAGCAATTTGCAAATGCCTCTTGCACTGCTCTTGCCAAAATCTCCATCGGAGTCTTGGCTAAAGCGTACCTTGCCTACCATTTCCGCAAGGAATTCATCTTCTTGGTCTTCCCTTGCTGCTCGCATCGGTGCCAGCAGTCCAATGGCCTCACCTCTTGACCCCAAGTGGGAGACAATTGTTAAAACTTCTAATGTTCAATATGGGCGTCTGCGGTTTTCTGAGGTAATTCTCTACCCTTAGCCCTCTTTAGTTTACCTGTGTACAAAAGTAGTTTGTTTACATTCCTCTTTATTTTATCAGGAACATCTCTCTACTATACCAGAAGCTTAAATATTGTGGACTGCTTATCCGCGGTTTGCATAACATTAGTCTTGGTGGAAATGTCAACTATCTTGACGGGTTGAAAGGTGCTCAGATGAATTTGTTTTGCTTCATATTTCAAAGAAATTGCATGTTCATACTTTCATGTTACACGGTATATAAGGTTTTAAGTTTTAACTGTAAATCATGTGCTTTATTTTTTATTTTTTATTTTATTTTTTATGTTGTATATTCTTCTTGTATATGTCATCAATTTTGTGAACTCAATACTTTGATTCCCTATGGTGATTCTTCTGTAAAGGGAGGAGTCCAAGCTGCAATTATTGTTGTAATAAGAGGAAATAAATGATATTTTTTTGAATACTTTCATCATCAGCCATCATGCCACACAGAATGGTCCTGATATCTTCATTAACGTGCAGTAGGGCCTGAGTAAAACTTCAGATTAAGTGAACTTTCATATGGCAAGGTTATGCTAATTATCTTGTCTATTTTTGCTAAGAATAGCTAATTTTGAAGATTTTACGCACCAATGTAGGATATCATTCTTTTATTTTAGTTAACTGATACACTGTTATGTGCCTAGTGATGACCAACTTTTTCCCTATTATGAAAGTCATATGGTAAGCACGTTACAAATTGTTGTGTCTTGAGAAGTTCTTCAGCGAATTTTACTTTCAATGAGCTAGTAAATGGTGTAGTTTATGGTGGGAACTTTGGCCTTTTGGCTTGTACAAGAACATGCTTGGTAGGAAAGTTTAGGAGTTCTTGCACCTGCCTTACCTGCTTTCTATGAGTGGATCCGGTCATAAAGTAGTAGAAGTTATTTTCTGCCTTGCACGATTTAGTTTGCTAGATCTTTGAGTTCACGATCATGTAAAGCTTTTACTTGTTCAGCGATGACATAAATTTATATAGGCTTTGCATATATAAAGAGTTTCCATTATGCAATAGTAATACTAGAATAGTGATTAGATTGTTTCTTCTCTTCTTCCTACACGACAGAAACTTTTAGACAACCCTCCCACATCTAGCTCAGGAGAAACTTAATAGAAAGCTAGAAACCGAAAATATTATTAATCTTAAAGTGATATTAGGAATACTTTTGTGTCAAGTCACCACCTCATGATATGGATATATACCACATAGTAATAAAATAACTGCTTGCCTAGTAATAAATCAACTGTCCACAAGTAGAATTCCCCTATTCTCTTCAATGGCCCACATGCTGGTGACCGTGATGATCGTCTCCTCCAAAGTGCCCACACAAAGCTCCGCCGATTAGTCCTCCAAAGCCCCCACAACCACCTCCACCTCCTTCGCCGCCGCCGCCGCCGCCACCTCCACCTCCACCACCACCACCATCATGGTGGTGGTGACCATGTTGGTCTTGAGGATTAGCCTGACCTGCCCACGCTGCCTGAGCCATTGCATCTATAGCATCAAAAATTTCTTCTCCGTGAGATAATTCTTCGGGTGCTTCATCTTCAGAATCCGATTCATTTCTCCTCGATTCATCTCTCCTGGGACTTTCGCCAGAGGAAAGGCCACATACAAATATCACAAATGATGTGGCTGCGAAGGACGTGAAGATCATGCAGAGCAAGAATATTATGCCCTCAAAGCTGTTTAACCAGATGAGACTAGGTGCATTTCCATGGCTACCATCAAATGCTACAATAATGTTTCTTGCCATTGTTCTTTCTTGTTGCTAGCTAGCTAGTTGATGCCGGAGAAAGTGAACTATATATATAGTGCACAGACTACAGAACAATTTACCTGTGACTATGGTAGTTTCACCTATAGAAATTAATGTAAACTACATGACTCTTTTTCTCCTCCCACTCATTGTTCACTTGCTTTAGATTCATTTGGCATGCCATACAGTAGTACATGTAACTAAAATAGCACTGTAATAAAAGAAAAAATATATTATAAAAAGTGAATGAAGAAAAATAAAGTATTATTATAATAGTATGAATGAAAAAAAAAAAAAATTGCAATTCGTGAGAAGCTGTTCGCTCTCTAAATGGGGTTCGAAACTTGAAAGTGTTCAAAACATGCTTTGCTTCATCTTTTCAGATGTCGATTGTTCACCTGTAAATGGTGTATTTTCATGATATTTTATTAACTCAAGGCATGAGTTTGTTCCTATAATTAGACGATTCTTCTGTAAAAGGGGAGTCCAAGCTGTACTTTTTAAATGTGTTAAAAAGACGATGCTTTTTTTTTTTTTTTTAATAAAAAAAATTCATTTCCAAGCTTGTCATCTTGCATTGCCATCTACTATGTTGTACATTGATCTTCGCTGCCGTACGAAGGCCCGTAGGAGTTATATTGTAGATGTTCCCAATAATATTATAGATCATAATACCTAATTTAATCTCTCATATCCTATTCTAATTTTAATCTTCATTTGTTTTATAAAATAATATAATTCATTTCAATCGTCTTACCCTCTTCTTCTTCTTAATTAATTAATTAATTAATTAATTTATTTAACATTTGAGTAGGAAAAATATTTTCTAATGTAGTACAATTCTTAGTACTAACTTTGACATATGTTATATATTTGCTAGCAAATTTAACACCTCATAATCGCATAGAAATTTAACATTTGATTGCTATTGATTTATGTATTGATATTTTTCATTTAATCATTACAATATTAACATTTCAAATCATTTTAAAATTATAAGATTATTTTTACAACCTCCAAACCTTACCTATTATGACAAAAAGTAAATATAACTTCTCGAATTGTATTATATATATTGGAACAGAAATCAAACTAACATATTAAAAATGCAATTTTACTGCAGGGTTCATCAGAGGAGGACATGAAAATCATGCAGATATTGCAAGGATATTGTGCCTTCAAAACTGTTAGCCAGCTTAGATGTTATCCTTCTCCAATATGGCTTACAGTGTCTGCTGCCATTTTTTTCCCCCTTATATGTTGCTAGCTAATTAAATGAGGAATGAGAAACCTAACAGAATAATGTATTTAATACATAGAAACTATACAGGATAAATTTTGTGACTGTATTAGTTTCTAGGCACTGAATTAAGTTAAATCACATGACTCTATGCTCTCTAATCGCACGCATTGCTAGCTTGAGGTTTCGTTTTTCATGTCCTAGTAAATTGTACTCTATATAGTTATTAGTTATTACTGAAGTAAATAATAGAAACAAAATAATATTCATTTACATTATTGTAGTAAAAAATAGAAAAGTATTGAATAAAAAAGTAAGGTACAACTTTGTACGTTAAAATAAATAAAAATGAAAATTTGAAAATTTTCCAGCAAAAAAAAAAAAAAAGAAACTTTGAAGGTTTTGGTCACCCACCTCAATAAATATCTGGTAAAAAAATTATTTATTCCGTAAAAAATGGTGTAAGTGCTATATCTTAAATTTTTCTCTTGCTAGATATATAACTTGGAATTTCCTTCTATTTTTTGAGTGAAACTTGATTTTCTTGTGATAATAATATAGTCATAATAAATCACGTATGTTAAATTTTGTCTTACTAGATAAGTTGGAATTTCCACTTGATTTTCTTTGATAATAAGATAGTCCTAATAAATCAAGTATGAATATACAGAGAAATCTAATTACAAAAAGAAAACTGAGCGCAACAATATCATAACCTACAAGGTTGAGATTTATTAAGGAACTTTTATTTTTCCATTATTCTTCATACAACTCAACGAGACCTTAGCCTACCATATATTAGTTCAGACAGGTTAATTTGCTTCATAAAGAAAAAAGAAATGAGAGAGGAATTATGAAGATTAATTTTTTTTAAGGTAATTAATTAGAAGATTAATTTGAAAAAGGGAGAAGCAATCAGAGAACAGATCACAGCTTTCTGAAGTGATATAGAGCATAAATATACATTGCAGTCCTCTAATTACAGACTAAAGTTTGTATTTATTTCATATAATACATGCTTGCAACGGTTTTTTTCCCTAGAAATCAAAGTGAATTTAAACTTAAAACCTCAACATTAGAATACACCTGCAACCACATGTTTAATATTGGTCCCACCACCTCACCGCCACCACTTCCTCCACTGCGCACCACCTCACCCCCGCAGCCACCAACCCACCTCGATAGCCACCATGACCGCCACCGCCACCGCCACCGCCACCGCCACTGTCACCGCTACGCTTACCCATTTGTGGATAAATACCGCAAGCAAATATTACAAGGACATGAAAATCATGCAAACCATCAAGAATATTGTGTTTCCCCACCCCCGAACTCTGCAGCCATACATCATGTTTAGGGCTGACAATTTAAGTAGTGATACGATGACACGATTTGAAACCTACACGAAGTTAGTGAGTATGGGTTTACTATAAATGAATTTGGGTTATAATTGGGTTAACACGATTAATACGATTAATAAATAAATTGGGTTAGGGTTGACCTCCTAACACGAAGTGACACAAATTAACACGATTAACTATATGTGTCATATGCAATCTAATAATATGTGATATAATATGAAAGTTTATATGATAACTATATGTGTCATCTGCAATCTAATAATATGTGATATAACATGAAAGTTTATATGACATATTAAATACAAATAATGTGAATTTTAATATTTATAGGTAAAATTCATTTATTTTTCTTAAAAAAAAGATAAATTGACCAATAAATATGTTAAACCAGGCTTGACCGTGTTAAATAAGTCATTATTATATTAGTTATTTATTTAATATATTAATTTAAACGAGTTATACTGGTTGACACGATTAATAAATGAGTCGTGTTTAGGTTGACAATTGTAATACGTTTGATAAACAAGTCGTATTTGAATTGATGTTTTTTGACACGATTAATAAACAAATTGATAAAAATACGACCCACAGTTTGTGATACGGATTCAAGATTTTATTTTAGTGGGGACGATAATATTTTTACCCTTTGAAAAGTATACAAAATTAAATTTATAAATTCGATTAATAAACAATAAGTTAAACTTTTAATAATTTTCTTAGTAATAAGATATTATTGTGTAAGCCTTTTATTATTATGATTTTTCTCTTTAGCAATTAGTGGCTCTAATTTTATTTCAAACATTTTCCATAAGTATTTTAGATAAAAACTAACAAAAGATTTAATACAACTGTTATATAACATTAAAATAAAGATAAAAATGGGTGCGTAAAATGAGGGTGAGAGGAAAAAAAATGAGGGGAAAAAGAGAAGAAAGGGAAGAGATAAAAATATAAAATGATGTTTATAGTTTGTTTAAATGAAAGAAAGAATAATGGTTACGTTTGGAATTGATTTTAAAATGATTTTATTTTCAATAAAAAGTAAAAATGAGATTGTTTTGAGAATCATTTTGAGACCGA